CCGGCCCTGAGGCAAAAAAGAGCGGACGAGAATACTTTATAATGTTAATAGTTAATTTTATCAACTATAATCTGACGAAAATTACGACGAGTTGAAATTGAATTAATTGGTTTTACTTACGGGGAATTAATAAAAAAAAATAAACAACGCTGTGGGACGGATAATTTTCGAAAAATTACGTAACGAGAAGATCAGATTTAGGTTTTTTTTCTTCTTCTTCTACACGTGGGAGGATTTCTCGTGGGTGGTTTATGATGCATTGTACCTAGTAGCCTGACAGGTGGCCCAGAAAAAAAATTAACGCCCTAAGTACGAATAAACTTAAAAGTGTTTATACTCCATAAAAGCCATACGCTCGCTAATTCAAATCGGGACTTGTACATAAATTCACGCTCTTCCATTTTATTCGTCTGCTTAACTTTATTTGTTTATTCAAGTTTAAGTAGCTTTAAATCGATATGGGCAAATGATAGTATAAATTGAACCGTTGTTTCCGGGTTTTAAAAAATTTTACTTTTTTTTATTGCAATTGGAACTAAATAACGTCAAATTGGTCGACGAAAAAAATTTCTCCCTTTTTAAGTAAACTTAAAAAAAACCACAAAATACCTAGTAAATAAACTACATTAAAACGCGCTGCAGAAGTTCAAAAGTAATCACGAACGCACTAATTAACTAATACAAAGTATTTCTTATTCGGCGCACATTCAAATTGAATCAAAACGGCCGCTCAATTGCGACATTCGTGTTTACTTATTGCCGATAAACGCGCGATTATTGCGGAACGACCGGAGCCCGATATCGACCGTTCCTACTCACGGATTTTATGAGACTGAATGTCTGTTGTCTGTTTATAATGCTTACAGTTGGACTACTATGCTCGGTAAATTGAAGCCTTCAAGCCATCGCTGCACCAGCGTTATATTTTGTTAAGTACGACCATTGGTCATGGACGAGGAAATTATATTGTAGGAAGAAATCGAGTTTTTGGGTATCTACGAACGGTGGATGAGTCCTATTTCCGAACAGGGTCGGGATTAATTGGATAATACGATTCGAAATTGTGTATGTAGAATAAATTTTAAAGCAATCGAGTTCTCCTTGAAAAGCTTATCTTTTATTTACGTAAGTAACTCCAAAATATTTTAAAATTCATGAATTAGGTAAAATTAGGAAAAAAAACAGGAAGTTGTTAGTTATAAGATATTAACATTTTGCAAAATTGCTCTCTGTGTATTAAATATTTTGAGTTGATTCGGATATTGTATTTCTCTAGTCTAGTTTTCTTTTCCTAGGTTTCATTTTTTTGAGATCTAATAGAGAATTTCAAATTAAAAACTCTACAAGTGAATTAACTTAACAATTCGATTCAAAATTGCAATTAGTTAAAGCAAAAGTAGTAGGTACCAAATTTTGACCAAAAATAAAGAAAATTAGAATCCAAATTTCTAATCAATTTTACCAAAATCAAGCCAATTTTTTAGCATTCTCATAAGTAAACTTCCTCTACAAGGTACCTAAAGACGGTCCTGTAAAAACATAGGGTGTGTTCCCTTTTACTGGTTTTACCCAATTGGTCACGTGTTCTTATTGACAATATGACTCCTGTAAGGTATTATAGTGTATCGATTTTTGCAATGCAGAAAGCAATAATGCAACCGAAAAGATTTACTTTTGTGAAATTCGAGACATAGAGGCAATACCGAGAAAGGTACAATAATAAAACCGATAATCTCGAAACGCCATTATATCCCGGGTCTGTTTTATGGGACTTCACGCTCGCCCAATTCGAATAACTAACCGAAACAATTTGAAAAGACAATAGGCAAGGCGTTATTAAGCGGTTTTCACCTTTCACCGCACACAACGTGTGATTTATTTCATCAACAAATACACACCTCGATAATCCTCTCTCGTAAAAAATCACCTTGATCTTCTTCCCATGGCTTAATCTACGGATCATCGAGTGCTTCGTTTAAAGAACCATCACGATTTTCGAAGCCAAATTGATTTTAATTAGCGATGAAATTTCTATAAGGTATCAGGGAAATGGAATATTACATCTATAACGATAAGTTATTAGAATATTATACGTAGTAAAAAAATACAAAATCAGCGTGAAATTAGGCAATTTGGAGCCGTCACTCCGAATTGTATTTATGAATCTTCTCGTTTAGTATAACCAACAGTTAATTAGCAGCCTATAATTTCTTCTGCACAACGAAATTAGAACAGCGTTGCCATGCGAACGATAATTTCCGGTTTTTTAGGGATTCGATTTTGATCGACAGAAATTCGCGATCGATCGAAGTTAGTTAGCGATTTCCTTAAACAGACGCCTGGCATTTCGACGAGAATGAGAGACAATATGGCGTATCACATCCTGGTTCGTTGATATCTAAGACGAAATCAACTTATACGGTTATCGCGAATCTTCGCAATACCTTAAAGACCTTTCGAGAATTCCTTTGATCCGGGTTCCCGGAAAATCCAATAAAAAATGCGACTCCGTACGCGAGCGAAACAATCAATGTTAAAATCGTTAAAACACTCGATGATTGTTATTAGTATAATACACTTTTTAATAATCGTTTTTGGGATGCATTAAACGTGTCTTCGGGGAAATAAAGCTCGCTCGATCATTTTTCTATTAATCGTTTTCGTGCTATCTGGTCGTATGAACGACGTTTACTACTCGGAATCAATTAAGCGACTAACTTTAAATCAACCACTAAGTATGGTCAGTTCGTAAACGGCATGTCTTCCTGTATAATTTTCAAATATGTGCGTGGAAAGAGTAAAAAGCAGCCGCCTGACGCGCTCTTAACCGACGACTTTTTGCACAAACTGATTGGAATTTTCAAATACAATCGGTCGTCTCGGCGATGTTACCATAAAAAGAATAATCCACAAGCGCAATTTTTATGCAATCCATTCAAGAAATGCTAATGCCCCCCCGAAACGGGTTCGATTTTAGTTAAAATTAATTTATCGGGAATCCGGTTGGATATTTTTCCGCATAATAATGGTAAATAATTGATGTCAATTATGGTTATTAAGAAGGTAATTGTGATTCTTATGTGCTACGATGACAGCCGACTGGCTACTATGGGAACTGGAATTAAATCTGATCTCACTCACTAAGAGTGACGTGATTCAATCTTAATCCATTTGTTATGTTTTATTGCCAGTCAATTGGGAATTAATGGAAGAATAATTGTTGTAAAATACAACCAAAACAGAATCGTTTAAACACTCAGTTACTTACACATTTCGTAGTTAATTTGCTATAAATAATTCATTTTAAATAAGTACAGGAACTTTGCAAAACAAATAAATAATGCTAAATAGAAACATATGAGAAAAGCAAACGTTTCCTAATACTATCAATAAATAAAAATCAGTATAAATAAAACGTTGACAGTTTCTGGGAAATCCATGCAAGTTGGGTAAAATATCGAGTCACCCCTATATGTTTCTACAGCCCATAACATCTGCCAATTAATACGCCTGTCCAAATGTTCCTTCCCCTTTATACCAATATATTCCGTTCTATTTTTGCAACAAATGTTTATTTGGTCGATCAAGATAATATATCTACAGTTTGACGGGTTATATTTAAAAGGGATTTGTTTAAGCTACACAAAAACATACCGTTTTGTTATTTTATAATGCAATTTTAAAGCCTAGTATACTTCAATTGAGGGTAAATTTAAATTAGTTAACTGGGGCTCCAATAAACACAATCAATAACCAAGTAGTTCAATAACGCAAACGAATATTTAACAAAGAGATGAACCTATCGACGTTATAACAAGCATAAGGTCAACTTCCTGTTCCCATCTTGACCTAAAATCACACATACATCTCTTTTTTTAAATCAACCGCAACTCCATCTTGGTAACGAAATAAGAAGAAAGCTGAAATATAAAGAAGAAAGAACTGCGAGTACTTAATATGTTGCGAATGCAACGCGTTCTACAGAGATGGGCATTCATGTGGAATTTACTAATAACGCGAGACGAGAATATTACAAAGTTCCAGTGACGGGTGCCCGTTCGAATCGAAGAAATTTATATTAATCGTGAACGGAGCTGTTTATCATTCGAAACAATTCGATGTCAATTAATTTGAACTCGAGATTTTAGTGAAAACATATTATTATTTATTAACCAGCCGTCGATCAATTGAGCGCTGGATAGAAGGCTAATCTCCGCCAATGCCTATGGGAATTGGAAATAGTAGATGCAACGAATGATTTCGTTGTATAGTAGATAATTAGAATAATAGTTAAGGAAATGGCATTGTTAGCGATGTTCAATTGTGGGTGGACGATCCGGGCATTATATCCTTTTTAAGGTTACCTAACAGAGGGCGTATGTAAAGTAAACTCAACGAGATTTAGGCCAGAGATGCTCCAGTTACAAAGCCATTCAATTTTATGTATCAATTATTGGGTAAATTCCGACGATACTTGTACAATTTCAATGCGCGATTCAAGCTACATTTGTATTCAATTCACAATTTACTGTGAACGATCGACAGGAAGAAGCCACGATAGATTACAATAAAACGTTTAAACTCGACGAAAAAACTACAGTAATTCAAATAAGAAACTAATTTTGTGGTTGACAAAGTCCGTGAGATTTTCCTCTTGAATAAATTGAAATTTTACGCTCAACCAAAAACGAATCATACTCATCGCACAGAATCGATTATAGTTTTGCTAACCGTTTTAAAATGTACCTCATTAACACAATTAAAGCCTAAGCAAGGAGGCTGAAGAGGACATCATACTATAATTATGTTACTATAGTATATCGTTCTTATAACCTGGCGAAGAATTTGTCTAGATCCTAAATATCTAGAGACAACAATGGAACTAAGGTTCGCAATTATTGGTGACTTCTGGTAGTCTCATGGCTGAGAAGATCTCTCCCCAAACAACCAGTATAGACAGATTGGGTCCCAGGGCATTTCAAACTAATGTGGGTACTTACATTGGTGCTGAGTTGCGAAGTCAACGTGTGGACTTTCTCCTGAGCTTCGGTCAATTCCCGCCTCAGCTTCCTGATCTCGTGCGCCTGCTTCTCCTCCGCCGACGAATACAAACTCGAAGCCGTCGAGACCAAGCTGATGGAGGATCCGTGGACTGCGAAAAAATATCATGTTTATCACGAAATTTGGTGAAAATTTAGGGTTCCTCACCATCGTCGTTCTTTGGTATGCTGTGCCTGGGCGTGCTAGAATGCGTGGGAGACAGAGGGAATGTTCTGGCGCTGCCGGGAGCCGGACTAGTGGGCTGGGACCAGTGACTGAGGCTGCCTATGGGCAGGCAATAGTAGGGCTCCGTTTCTGGTTCGGTATTGCGATGCAGCATCGAGGGGTACAGTTTCTCCGATTTTGTTGACCTGCAATAACAGCGAAGGTTTACTTAATTTACTTACGCGCAACTTACGCGTTGTTAGTCGATAATTATATACGATAATTGTAATTTTGAAAACAGCGATCGTCCGGTACAACAAGCTCAAACAGTCGTAAAAAATAAAAGTAACTAAAACGTTTTGTGTGCGTGTTGAAATAAGCGTGAATATTTGATTTGACTGTTTCGTTTTCGTTCGAATTCATTGTGTGGTCGTGTTGTAGCGAGTATATTCGAATTTGTACAGAAAGTGAGTAACAATCAAAGCGGAAAAAGCAGACAAGTGCGAAGCTCACACGTTTGACACAAATGTTGAAACGGGTATTTCATTTCATGTGCTAAATATTTACTATGTACTATTTACAGGAGAGTTTTTACGGCTGTTGGATTTTTTACATACAATTAATTATTACAAATAAAACGTGAAATTGAAAGCCAAAACCTCAAATTTTGACCAATTTTGAATATAAATTTTGCAGGTGCTTACGTCAAATTGTCATTTTAACAGTCAGATGTCAATTTTGATATTCAAAGCAAACTATTTTTATTCAACCAGATTATTACAGTTTTTTACCAAGAACATTTAAATATCATAAAGAATTAGTTGAATATTAGCAGAAATGAAGAAATAGAATAATCACAGATAAAACGGTGAGTTCTTCATGCATTTTTAAGCAATTAATATAAATTTTGCACGTCAAATTGACATATAAACTGCCATACGTCAATTTTGATATTTAATGCAAACTATTTTATTTTTATTCAACCAGTTTATTACATTTTTTTACCAAAAATATTTAAATATCATAAAAAAATTAGTCAATTATTAGAAACAATGAATAAATAATAAAATAATCGCAGATAAACCGGTGAATTAAAATTTAACCCAACATTCAACATTCTATTCCAACCGCAACTCAACTGTGAATGACTACTACTTATGCAACCCAAAATACATCTCGCGTAAATATTTAGACAAGCTCAATATTACGATTTTTTCGCTTTTTAAGGCTTTTATCCGCTCTAATACCTTGGAAACGTCCTTTCTCTGAGATAGCTGTATGTAAGAAACATTCGTATGTTAAATGATTTCATAATAAACATCCGTAGATGCGTTACACAAAATAATTTTACATCGTAAACACACCTAAATCGTTTCAATCGATATAAACACTAACACTAGTCGAAATACGAATCGAGTTTCTAGAACATTTTGTTAGTAAAATACCTTATACTATTGCTTCGACTTAACCTTGACGGGGAATCCCTTAACAATCTCGCGTGCGTCAGGCTGCTCCTGTGGCCCGGCAGGCTCGTCAACGATTCCATGCTGTCCGTTTCGGATAACCGCGGAGCCACCGAATACGTGTTACTACAAAAACAAACACATCATTAATAAATAATCCTCTTCTCAATAACTACTACCAAACCGAGGACTCGGGCCTGAACCTTGACCGAGACAGCTCAAGCCAAGGTTCAGGCATCGAGACCTCCATGTAGCCAAGTCCCTCGATGGAGGAATTGGTGTAGTTTGGTAGATAAACTCGGTCCTTCTCAATATAAACTCACCTGTGTCGCAACCAAGGGGCGTACGATCCGGCGTTGTTCTCGATGGCTTGGGTATCCGATAGGGAACCATCGCTGGCCTTGGGCCGGACCTGCCTCATCACCAGGCTGTACTCCTGGTGGGTGCCGGCACCTTTTGGAAGACTTTGTGATCCCATCATAAGACGTTCTCGCACCGACTGGCTCAGCTGGTTCGCGGTGTTGCCGGTAAGAGAGTAGCTCTTGAACTGCGGAGGGCTCGGTTCTAAAACAAACAATAAACGTTTATCTGATGGTTACTCCAAGTCGGATTAAAGCGAGTGGAAAAAGAAAGTAAACCGCTTACTTTGCGCCGGTTGAAGATCGCTGGAACAAGTTTGAGTGCCTCCTGAAACTTTAACTTTGGTCCTGGGAACGGCGGAGACAGCTGCAGTTTTTCCCGCACTTTGATTTTGGATTACTGAAAAGTTTTACAATTTAATAAACCATTCGTTTAGAAACTTCTCAAACAAACTTCTCTTTACCGTATAAGAATATTAACTCGATAATTACCCGGCACAATATAACCTTTAATATAATTAAGTTGTGAAATTTTATGAAAGAAAAATTGAGAAATACTTACATTGCATACTCTGCCCGTTAGTATTCCCATTCACGGCGCCGTTGATGCTGGTACCGTTCCTCTTGAAGTAGCCGAAGCTCTGCGGTACCCCTCTGGCGCCTTTCGCCGCCTTCTCCTTGCCGCCGCTGCCGTGCGGGCTCGTCCGTCGTTCTCTCCTCGCCTGCGGCGGGCTCAGCGGCGCCGGCGGCGGCGGCGGCGACCCCACGCCCGGCGAGTCCGTGTACCGCTTCCACTGCTGGTGGTGGGCGTGCTTGATCTCTTGCGCGGAGTGCTTGGAGTCCTGCGGCGACCCGCCGTTCCTGGTGGACTTCGAGGCGATCCGCGGCGCCGGCGGCGGCGGGGGAGACTCCCCCGAGCCGCCCCTGCGGCTGGATTGCTCCGTCAACACGGTGAGGCCGGACGGGAGACGAGCGGTACTGGAACGAGTAGAAAACGTGAAAGTGTAGAACGAGTGGAAATTCGGGACTGTTAGAAAGTTTGTATAAGCGAATCGAACAATGAGCGGAGTGGAACAATGGACGGCGAGTCGTTAAAGTTTATCTTTTATTTACAATATGAGCCACTATCTATTCTATTTTATTTTGTAAACTCTAAAATTCTTTCGCGATATAAGTATCATGCGCACAGTGTGGTCTGATCTAATTGAAATAACAAATGCTTGGTTAAAGTTTAAAAGCGAACAATGCTTAGGATAATATACGATGCACTGTAAGAAAATAAACGATGCAACGATGAGTCATTTTCCGCACCCCTTCGAAACCCCGGGCCGATTTAGTTTCTCGATTCGAGTGCTCCTTCACCGTCTGATCTTTCGTAAACACCATCAATAACGCCGAAACGGTAAACGAATGCATTTTTATCTTCGCTAGACGGGCTCGCCTCGTCTAGCGACACTCCACCCGATCTATTGTCGACCAACAAACCCAACTAGCATCTAGATTCACCTGGCCTCAAGCTCCCTTTGAACTACCACACACAGCGAACGGGATTCGTGATATATCTAACTGTCCATTGTTTGAGTTGAAGGAAGTAAACAGAATTCAATTTGTATTATTCTTTTCATCTCTTTCAAAGTTAAATAGGGTTAATACAACTTACTGATAATCATCCCTTGAGCACTACTATTTCATTAGTAGGTATAACAAGGAAATATAGAAAGCAACAAAGAAGTAGGACTTTTGGATAATAAAACTTACTGATAAGCATCCCTTGATCGCTATTTCTTTAGTTCATTTAACAAGGGAAGGTAGAAAGCGACAAAGAAGTAGGAATGATTAGCAAGGAGTATTTTTTGGTCTATTTCAATTAAAACTGAAATAATCGTGTGGCCGTTTGGAGTAAAACGTGGGTGGCGTTTACCCCGAGCCGCTAATAAATTTTATAGCGAGCGCTTGCCCACGACTGGCCATTAACATACGAATATTTATTTATGCGTACACCCCAAAATGCGCCGCAAACGTATTATTCGCACGAAATTTATGATTTAATGAAGTCCGGCATGAATACGAATGTGGTATTTTTAGCGTAATCGCTTCGTGCGAATAATAAACGTGCACTCAATTAGCATGGGTTATTCTAAATCGATTGGATGAAAAATTAATAAAACCCTATTTGTTAGTTAATTTTAGATCGTTTGCAGTGGACGAATTTAGACATTTGGCCTTTATCGATTTCGAGTGTATTTTATTTATAGAGGAATTCCGAAGGAAACGTAACCTGTAATCGATACTTAATTGAACTTTCGTGTCTTTTGTTCAAATCGTATACGATTTTTTTTTTCGATAAATCGACGATAACGGATAAGGTATTGCTTTTCGAGAAAGAAGATTTTACAGAAAGGCTTGCCGAAAGCCTGTAATTACTGTTCAAATTGCGGATAATTGCTTGTAATTAACACCGACGTCCATTAAAATTTCTTGCAAAGGGCCCAACGAAGATAACGGTCTACACGAGTGTGAGAATGAAGATAAATTAGTTCCACATTTACTTTGAGTTTAATAGAAATTTCCAAAAAAAAATGGATCCTGCTATTAGCCATTTTTACGGCTTCGCATTAAAGCTTGAAGGGTATACGAAACAAAACTTTCCCTTTCTCCTCGACATAATGAATATGCGGCGTACTCTAACTCCAGACTTCCATTAATCATTAAAGCAATGAACCGTAAAGGGTTATTATTTTTCGCCTCTTCTGCTCTCCTTTTGAGCAGTTCGATGTAATTGCGCGGCCGTACAGTCGCCTGCAAAAAAAAAACTGGATTCGTCATCCAGACACCTTAATTACTCCTATCTGTTCCGTCGAGTTCGCTAAATGGAATTTTAATTAGACTCGATGTGAAAAATGGCGAAATATTAATCAAAACGGAGCGTTAGAAAAAAACCCGGCAATGCAAATCGAGTTTGAACAGTGCGTTATTTATGTTTTACAAAGGGTCTCGTTTGGAATTCTCGGCGCTTCCTGTATGAATAGAATTGGAATTCTTGGCAAAAGACGTATACTGCGGTTCTTTATTTTATCCAGTATTTCCAGCAAGTAGCTCTCTAATAAATCGTTATTGCAGTTACTCGTTGCGGATGTCCAGACTTTTATATCGTTGTTTCTGGGTCAGTTTTTCGAAATTAAAACTAGAATATTCCCAAGTAACAAACTTTTCCACTTATATCTACACAATTCTTCGAAAACCGATATCTTCATTGTTATGTGATTACCAGAAATACAATCTTTATAGAAGCGTAACTATCTTATCGCATTTAACTACCTATAATAACAGGCCCGATGAAGAAATTATAAATACGATATCGCGTAAATTGTCTCCAAGTACACCATTATTTTTTATGTTTGTATCAACGACACTTCACCCAGCGTCGCCAGATCTCGTTATAAATTGTAATCGAATTCGTCGACGACGGAAGAAAATTAATTATTGATGATAAAATGTATCTTATCATGTCGCGAGCGGAAAGAATTCTTCTTAGTTCGGATTTATTATAGATCTTAAAATGGCTTATTAAGGGCTTTGTAAGTGATTTTTTTGTTGTTCCTATTTCTTTGGGGTTTTGAAATATTCTATTGTTAAAAGAAGAAATAGGAATGAGCAAGGAGTGATTATTGATTATAAAAAATTCAAATCTGAAGATACTTGATTATGTAACCTATTATGTAATCGTATTAAAAAAATGTAATTTTGTTGCAGTAGAAACATTCCATAATTAACACAATATTTATTAATAATACTGTAATATTTCATACATAATAATTTGTATGAAGATTTGTCCACTTTGCAAGCGAAAGAAAAAGTTATTAAATACATAATAAAGGTTTACAAAAACGAATTTCTACTCTTCCGAAAGCCTTTTCGCGTATTATTCGAGCACACACACAGAGCCCGTGAATCACCCGATGACAATGACACAATGACATAAAAACAAACGAACATACCAATATTCCACGGCCTCCTATCGCGTCCACGCACCGTCGGTGACACTTTCATCACAGCCAACTTTGCTACAATAGTTCCGATACACGACGGGCCCGTAATTTTTCCAGTATTTCTCTAATAATATTTCCGTTAGGCACTACTGTGTAGTCTGGCGTCTGCCGAAATCGATTGCCGGGGCGCATGTTCCCTGAGGCTCCGGCAACGTGCTTTACTTTTTACTATTCCACCATGGTGCTGGCGAACAACATCTGATCGGCCACCCCTCTGCCGGTGGTGGGAGTCACCGCGCTCGGTGCAACAGGAGGGTGCGAAGCGACACGTTCGGGTGACAAACGAAGAAAAATCTTGCAGTTTGCAGTATAATCGATGGTGTTCCGGCTAATGAACGTTTGCGAAAAGAAAGAAACCCGTAGGTCAGGAATTTTTCTCGAAATTTTCGAGAAGTGTTGCGCTTTCGAAGCATATAATGGCTTATCGCCGAGCCAGGTGTTGTTTATGATGCATAACGAAATAATGCGGGGTGTTCGGTTACATGTAAAATAAGTAACCGCTGCTCATAGGTGGAATTTAAGTGCACTTAAAGCATTTATTATCTCGCCTAATTCGTTACAAAAGAGTGATTGTTTGGTTTGTAATAACAGAATTCCAAATACGTTTTATTTTACCAGTAAAAAATTACCGATTTTCAAGATATTAGAAGAAAATTTTACAATACTTGCTGCTGGAACAAACCTATTGAAACGATATCGAAGGAACAGAAACTTTCACAGCAATTATTGCGAAACCCTATTCCCAGCAGTCTCACTTACTTAATTTAACGAAGGCAATGCGACCATTTGATTAAATTTCCAAGAACGACAAGCGATACGATACACCGGGCAGGATTTTCCTTATAGAAACAAGAGACTTATAACGAGGAAAACGCGGGGAACGGAAATTACGCGTATACGCACGTCTTCCCGGCAACTCCCAGCGAAGTTGATTAACGACTCAACCAGAAAGGGTGAAATTATACTTTGAAAAACTTTCTAGACACCAGTTATTCACACCAAACTAAAACTACTCGATAAGAGAACCGACTGCGCTGGAGACCGGCACTTACGCGTATGCAGCTAACGTTGCATCGCCTCCTAGGGTCCTTAACGGGCCCGTGCGATGACTCACGCTATATGGGGTTAAAAGCGAGCGAATGTCCATCGACTACCGACCGTCCCACGGCCGGTCACACTTCGCTCACCACCAGCTGGGCTGATAAAAAGCGATACGCTTCGTCGTAGGCCCGTCTCGAGAGTTAGCAAAAAGAGGATAATAAAGGGTGTTTCAAGACCGCAAGATTTGATTGCCTGTCATGTTTGACAGTCATAATAACACGTGATTATAATATGACAGATCGAAAGTTAACAGTTGGGAGTTAGTAAATATGGAGCATTGGATCTGGATATGGATTTGGATAAGGTAGACTGGGGCAAATGTAAAAATGGGGTAAATGTAATATTTTTACCTATTATGTTAATGTTTTTATTATTTTTATAGTTCTTTTGTGCATTAGACAGGGTTTGTTTCTTATTTTTTCTTTATTATTATGTAGATCTGTTATTTTTTGAAATAAGTAAATAAACCAGCATATCAAATTTGAGAGGAACCAAATAGTTTTTTACTATTGAAAATTTTATCAAAATAGTACGCTTGTGCCAGCAAAGACGTGGGCCATTTACAAGATATTTTGTTTCATATATAATTCCCAAATGTATACATGATAAATTAATAAATATTACCATATTTTGCTACAGATAACATTGTTTTATTGAACCTTAGAATCTTGCGCTCTTATTGAAACACCCTTTACAAGCACATTAAAACGAAGTTAAAAAGTAAAACCAGAAGGATCACAAAAAGAGACTTGAAGAACACTCGTATATGATACAGTTTAGAAGATGAATCCGATAAGAACCAAAGGAAAAAAAACACTAAATATAATATGAGTAGTCCAAATATTCCTATGATGTTTGTATCTTAGGATAACAATAACATATTGGGTGCTATTTTAATGCAATTCTCCCACGGAGCGTCCGTGCTAAAATCATCTGCACATCGGCGATAGACTTGTTTGTTTTGCGCTTCGTCATCGTCTTTGTGTTTGTCACATTTGTTGGTGGTCGCGAGCTAAGGAGGAAGGAAAAGGGGGACGCGGAGCTGCGTGCGAGATAATCGGTCGTGATTTTATATTTTTTCTGTGCACACCAAACGATCGTATCGTAAGTAAAAGGGAAAGTAGATGAACGAACGGAAAGGGCAAGTGTTCGGTTAATAAATAATAAACGGGCGAGCGAGCGATTACCGTCGAGATACGAAACGGCGCGTTAAATTTTACCTTCTACGATAAGTAAATACCGATCGGATCGATCCGATCGATTAGTCGAGTGACGGGAGCTCGACGGGAGCGCGCCGTCTGAATAATTCATACACGAAATCTCTATTTTTTTTTCATCCTGTTCTCCTGGACGGGATTATATCGGCTTAATCTGGCTCGCTTTTCGAAGTAATAAAGTACGTGACCGCCGGTGATGAATGAGAATGCGCCCGCCCCATTGTGTTAAATGGCTTTTCCGTACAATAACATTGTTGCTACTCGCATCACAAATCGCCTTAAAAAACCAGGACCGGAACCAAACAACTTTAAACAACCATCACTTAAGAGCGAAGAAGACCTTAAAAAGAGTGAAGAAATGCTTCAAAAATATGCCGGAATCAATTTTTAGACAGTCTTATAAATTTTCCTGTAAAACCAGTGCATCAAAGAGTCTTCTTCAATAATTACCAGCTACTTCTTGTACCTTCAAACTATTAAAAGACACCTAGTAAGTGTCCCAAAGAGTTATAACAAGACTTTTAGCTCACGCTGAAGAATATTTTAGTTACCAAAACCCACACACTTTGGAAATCCAGACCTGTTTGCAGTTCTATCTGCTCGCACATCGGTTCTTTCTTTCGATTACCGTTCGCTCACACCCTCTGGATTAATGAACTCTACGTGTTGTAGAATGAGCGCAACAGTGCACGTTTTTTCCTTTTGTTATCGGAAGAAGGAAGCTCGCAATTATTGACCGCATCATCACGATACGTACGCTTTATTGTCGTGTGGTACGATGTGAAGGAATAATGCAGAGGAACGAAACGATCGCGAGTGTAGATGAGGTAACAATGAAATTAAGGAAGCGGATTTTTTCATTGGAAAATAACGAAATTCTTATATGAATCGCTTATGAAGTTGTTTACGGGTGTATTTTCGAGTGGAGCGAGGGAAAAATCGCCCGGGGAAATCGGTTTAAGTTTGTCGAAATTGAATTCGACGCCGGATCGATAGCCTACAGATTCTTCTCGATTTTCAATCGCATGGGAGCGAATTTGATTAGAAATGGGTCTCGCCGACCGCTAAATGCGTCAACTAAAAGAAAATTTTTAAATACATTACCTACATTTGCTGCATCTACCTCAGTAGATCCTAAATTATTTTGCTACAAATTTTGATACACATTTTGAAGAGCGCAAATCGCGGACTAGAAGACTCGACAGGTCCCTTTTTTTGATTAAAGGCACTTCAGGAAAATGAGGAGTGACACCCGTCTCTAAGTAATTGAAAACGGTGTGAGAACATCTGGGACATCAGCATCAGGGGATGTGCTGCGGAGCGATTTTTATCAGATTATTTGCACCCTATTGTCCAATAAACTCCTTCGATATGAGATGTTCGCTTCCTTTTTATTAATCTTTAAATTCCCTCTATAAAAATACCAACCAAACGATTCATCCCATAACCATTAAAGCAATAATCTTAACACTGAATATCCTCGCGTAATTTTTTTTGTATTTTCGAAGGACAAAAAGTACATCCTTTAAGATTAAAAAACATAAACTAGATAAGCGACATCCACTAACAACATTCAAGTCTCCTGAGACAGTGTTCGTTGCAGAACCATTACTTTAATGGCGTCCTCTTTAATAGTCTCGTTTTCTGCGATGGCGCAAAAGGATACAACTTTAGGCTGTGTTACATGTAAATATTTTATTGCGCCGAGATTTAGAGCGTAATTGAAACGACTCGACTAAATGCGGGGAGTTCTGGCCGATGCGGAGCATTAAACCGGAACAAAAGATTAAGCTCCACTAATTGCATTCGTGCATTAAAAGCTGCCGCTAGATCTGGAGATCCCAGTAGCAGAAACAACGACCCTCTCGGATATCTGGAGATTTGTATATTTTGAATTGTAAATATCAACAGTATAATAAAGTAATTTCGTTCGTCCGGATTCGATTTCTATCAGGGGCGGTTGTTAGTAAATTAAACGGCATCATTTTTCGGTAAATTTGATTTCGATCGAAAATTGGCCTCCCGACGTCTGAGAACCAATTTGAATTTAAAATTCGAATTCCATTCACGGGCGACAGAAATGTATTCAAGTTGTTTAGTCATGCTTATTTAGAAGCGAAGAAGCTTAACCAAATCGGCTGGGGTGAAAGCCTCCCGCTTTTTTCCCGAGAATCGAACGGATATGTTCGAATTTTACGCGCAAAAATTCACGCTTTACGCGTATTTAAACGAGCACACTGTACGAAAAACTATGACTCGATTCTTTCTCTCACAACGCAGGGGTCCTTCAAAAGGATGACTAATCCCTTTCGGCATTAATTTTAATCTAACCGGCTTGTCCCTTGTCCATTATCCTTAAAACATATCCAGTAATGGCGCACTCCCGCCTGTTCCATAAATTTAATATGCTAGAATGCTCGTGAGAGTTGGCTGGGGCATTCCGGCAGAAAAACGAAATCTGACAGCAGCCCTTAGAGCTACTTAGGGGCGGCGAATTTTATACAACACAAGCGACTTACCCGTTGGTTAGATGAGCAGGTATAGACTGCAATCTTCTGGCGTATAAAACGGCTCCGCCCTCTGACATGTAACCGTCCCCGATGTCCATCGCGACGGTGTTCCTCAGGATCTCCCCGTCCGAAAGGTACCCATTAGCCAAGGCGATCTCGCAGTAATCCGATCCACCGTCCGGCTGCACCCTGTTGTACTGGCGCTGCCTCTGCGGCAGCGTGCTGCAGTAATCCCTAAGCAAAGGCCGCATCGGTTCGATCGACAAGTTCTCGTCTTTATCCTCCAGGTACGCCTCTTTGATGTGATTCAAGATATCCTTCTCGCGCTCCTTCGACATGTCCAGCTTCTGCTTGTTCACAATGTTGTTGTAGGATATGCTGTTCGCTTCTTTCTCGTTGTTGGGCAGCCTGTCGGCCTCGTTGGAGGAGTCCTTGGGGGTTTGCGGCGCCGGCGGCGGCGGCGATTGATCGGTGACGGCCGTGATGTAGTTCACCGGCTCCTTTCGGTTGGGTATGACGTTGGGATGGTCGGAGCCGCTCTCGCTGGACGGCTTGTAGATCACCGAGCTCTCGCTGGAGTTGCTGTGATGGCCGGTGCTGGCGCTGTGGCTGCTCTCCGACAGTTGATTGTCCTTCTCGTTTTTGATCGGCGATACGAGGGCGACGGTGGGTTTCTGTTGCTTCAGGGATATCTGCGAGCTCTCCCTGGACACCGACGTGCTGTGGTTGAGCTCCTTCAGCGAGCTCACGCTGGTTTCTCGGGATATTTTGCTGGTGCCTTTGACCGCCGCGGTGGGTTTGGGTATCCCCGTGCCTAGCACTTGGCCGTTACCGTTGTGTATCGGTAAATGGGTGACCTTGTTTTGGGGTTCTTTGCTGACTGTTACTCGTATTTTGGGTTCTGCTAGTTTGGTGGATGGTAAATTGGCGATTTTGTAGGCGTGCTTTTCGACGTCCGTCGCCGTTTTGTTCGATTTGTTGATGATGACTTCTTTTTTGCTCGAATTCGGGCTGTTTTTGACTTGCGTAGGTTTACTAGGACGGGTTTGTTTCAATCTGGAAAAAATATACAAAATTTAAGTAGGCAACCCATTATGCACACATTCTAGCCGGTTTAGAGGTGGACGAGACAATTCTAACTTTCTTCTCCAAACTACCCTACCTGGAAGTATTTCTAATCGGCTTAAGATCCACGCTATGCTCCATACTGACGCTGCTGGAATCGCTCCTTTCGCTCCTGGCCGAGGACACTCCGCTGGAGCTGCTGGTGCGTTTCCCGTTGCTCACGGTCGCCGGTTTGTCGTTGTTCTTGAAGAGCTTCAGCTTGTCGAGCATGGAGTTCTTCTGCGACTGGTTGTTGCTCTGGTAGGGGCTGGTTATCTGCGAAGGGGGCGCCCGGGGTATCATCGACATGGCGGGGCTGGTGCTCCTCGAGCTGCTCGCCACCGGCCGGACCTTGTCCGGCGGGCATCGCCGCGCCGGCAGCGACGAGCCCGGCAGGGGGATGCTGCTGCCGCCCTTGTGGACGATCGTCGAGGACCTGGAATAGAAAGAGTTCCGTTATTAAGGTGATTTATTTGGAGCACGCGGAACGGTATAGGGTAATAAATTAACCGGGTATCTCGCTGATCCGTGTCGGAAATTATGAGAACTGGTTCTCCGGCTCATATGGAAAGGTACATTATTAGTTTACAAAAATAAAGCTACCTATCATCATCAAGGTCATTTATAACTACCACTTTACGAGCGGTTATTTTTAGGTGAGGTTTTTTGTAATGTAATATCCGACGGTTGCATGAACAATTCATCTCGAAAAGATACGAGAAACAGATTATTTACCTACAAGATAAACGAACTAGTAAAGGAAAAACGTATTTATATTTAACTGTTTTTACGAAATCTCAATCGCAATGGATTGGATTTATTTAGTGGGATTTCTAAGTAATGCATCTAAATTCAAATATATCGGAGTGGAAAAAGAATTCTCGCCGGGTTAAAAATACTACCCATTTTATAGTAGCCAACGACGGATATTTATCAGACGCCGAAGTTCATGGATCTTTCTGTTTGTTTATTTTACGCACACAATCTTCCACCGCGACAAACTCTTCGAAATTGTTTACGCAAGTTTTCGTCAAATGTTTCCCATTTCTTAGAACACCCGCGTGCGAATATTCCAATTTCGCTTGCGGGAATATGTCGATAAATAATTCATTAAAGACTCACTGCGGATAAATAATTAATTGCACTTGCGAGTACAATGCAGGTGTCGAATGAGGTAATTACTAGGCTGCTCGATAAAGTCATTTACAGGCATAGGTAATTAACTCTACGCCAGGCCGATATGCTGACATTGCGAATCATTTAGGAATTCAATCGGTATTTGTTGCATATGGAAACCTATAAATCCATATTTGGCCTTTATGCTTGCGCCAATAACAGATGGGATTTGGCCGGTATTCATGGGTCGAATTGGATAAAAAAAACGAAACATGTTTGGAATAAACTCGGCTGGTTGAATAATGCATGAATCGAGCGTTTCGAATTCAATGTCATTGTGGCCGTTGAAATTCAGAGTTTAGAGAGTTGTTCACGTAATTGGTACGAATTCATAATTCATGTGTAATTTATTTCGGATATTGAAATCGGGTTGATATACATGAGAGGCTTTCAATGCCGCTTCAATTTCCTATTATATTCGTAAGGTTGTAATTTAATTCATCCTGCAGAAGAGCCGGTAATGCGATAACGATACGAACGATGATTTTATATATCGGAATTTTCCCGCATATACCGAACGAAATTTGAATTCGTTGAATGGCCTGCAATCATCTAGGAATAGTAACGGCAAACAGTCGCTCGAAATTTAATCAAACATAACGAAGACCGGCTGGTGTTATTTGATTTTCCCGTTGATGTCGAGGGAAGTTTGCCACCTAACCTGCAACTCGAATTTCTCCGGAGACCTCTTCATATTGCGGGAGGGAAATAAGATTTTAGCACTGTTCGCAAAGTTGCCTAGAAGATACCATCTGATATACGATAATTCAAATTTACCTATCAGTAATTTATATGAATTATCGAGATAATGATAAATGGAATTAGAGTTTTCGAAACTACGATCATTCACTGTCATGTAGTACAGAAAATGTTTGTTGTTACAAATCTATTCCTGAATCCTGTTGCACATCGAGCGGATTATTTATGCGGCTGGAATTATTTTAATTATAATGGAGATGCATTGACCGATCGAAATTGGATAATAACTTTCGACAGGCAACGATTTCAACAGCATCACTACATAACATAAATACAGTGAGAGCTTTATGTAAATTATAATTCATTTCGTTATCTATAGGTGTAATTTTTCGAATGAAATTTCTAATAAAAAATCGAGCACATCGTAGCGTATAATAATTATTTTATGCATTAATTAGTACTAACTTAGCTCTTCGAACTTCGGGAGATGTGGGTAAACTCCTCGATTTTGTAATTCCTCCATGTTGATTGCCCATTGCATTTGGTAATTTATCACAAACAATTACATTTGAATATCACAAATTTGAGATCGTTCGAACGCTGGGATTAATACATCACTTTTGTTGTTTTCGTTCAAATTAATAAACTATAAACTACTAAGGTTGCAGCTGGTGCGATCATTAAAATTATCATTTAAGTGATTTATAATTCAAACGAATTAAACTTAATCAGCACGATAATTATTGTGATTTCCTTATTATTATCAAACAATAAAGATGCAGCGGGTGTTTGTTACAAATAAATTCGCATCGATTGTGTACCGATGATGAAAAAACCGACCACAACGAAAGCTGCGCGTATTAAATCGCAAAGAAATCCAATCAAAAAAATAAACGAGCACCGAAAGCGGCAGATTCGGGAGCTTTCGAAAAGCACAAAGCGCACGCAAAAGGGTCGTCCCGGAACAAAGGACCCGATCTTCGCAACTGCACCGAACTGCACTGAATGCTGAAAACTGAAAATGAAAACATAGCCACGCGGTCCACACGCGTTCGCTATTTATCGGCCGCGCGGTTGTCAAGTCTACGAGAAAATCCACCGATTTCAGGAATATTAGAGTAGGTAATAATTTGGTTACGAGATAAATACAAGCAAACAAGATAGTAGATTTGTTTGTTTTTGTTAATTTTCGAACAATTATTTGCAATTAGGCGAATACATTGTTTAATTTGCGATTTTATCTGCGGTACTCGCAATAACTTTCGATAAAATAATAATTCTTAAGTATTTTTAAAGTGCTTACGTGGGATTAAAATGAATTGTGTTAAAGAGATCCATTTTTTGTGTATCTAAACTTACTGCATCTTCCTTTATTTTGCTGTAAAAATCGGCAACAGGGCGATATCGGATCCATCCAGCACCCTAAACGCACCGCGAACGCGGCAAAGGATAAGAGATTGCGATGCATCTGCCGCCGTTCCCGCGATTGTCGCACCCCTAGATCGCGATTTGCATCAAAATGAAGCCCGACTAGCAATTTACGGCCCTCCGGCGAGTAGGTGGCATGTACTTTCGTCAACAAACGTTCGATTAAATTGGTCCAGGTGCTCCACAACAATACCTACATCTTCTCGATGCGAGGAAACTAATTATAGACCATTTCAGGGGAGATTTTTAATGAACTACTAGCTCGAAAATTCCAATTAAAGCTCGGTACACCCTGTATGTTAGTTGAATTAATCACTCTGGTTTTTTTACGAGCCACTTTACAGGCATTTCACGCTTGAATAGTGCCCTTTGTTTTTCCAATGAAATATTATCCGACGTCCGGGCGACTTATCAAAAGGGCGCGTTGTTGTATTAGCGTGCGCGCACAAAAACATATGTAGAATTTGAAAAAACATCGGGGGTACAATGAGTTAGTTATTGGGTTTTCTGCGTTTGTTTTTAATTCCAATTTTTCACAGTATAGGGCGTAAGGTTTGTTATTGCGAAGCTGTCAACACTAATTAATTATATTTATTTGATGTATAGATTATGGAATAAATGCTTCCAGATGATACACTTCTGGATAATTTTTGTGTAAATTTTCCCACTTTTTTTACACTACAAAATGCACATATTATATTCCACTAATCCTAAACTTATACATAATATAATAACCAAACTCACGAGCTATAAATATCTACAATTTTCGTATAGAATACTTGCAGAAAAAAAATCAAGATAGGTATAGGTGTAGGTAGAATAACCGAAGTTAATAATTACGTTTCGAATTCAATGCGAAAAGAATAATTATCCGTTATGAGTATACGCAATAATTGCGTGGATGTGGCATCGCATTTATGTAAATAAGGCAATTTATTTGTACCTTAAGGCCCTGTTCTTATTTATAAAAATTCTGTATAGGCACGTTTGTATCAAAGTTTACAAGTCTGATAACAGACGCAAAAATTCAGCGATATTTCATAAAATTATATACAGTGCTTTCTTACAGTCTTGTTATCCATATGACTAAGTTAGGCAACCAACATTGCACGTATAAATCATTGAATTCGCAACTTTCTATAGGAATATCGAGTTTAATTAATATTGTAAAAACGAAATTTCACAGTATTAAGTCGTATTTCACAGCAGATGTTGCCAAAACTTAGCTCCACCATCGGCTGTTGACAATAAGGGAGTCTTTATTACAGTTCCCATTTTTTTTCCGAACTCCTCGAGCGGCCGTTATTAATTCCCGTCTCGCGCATCGCCGCAGATATTAACTCTCGCGGAAGTTACCGGATTTCCTATTTATTTTGCAATTTTTAATCCGCTCGAAACATCATCGGGGATAATTCCACCTTCGGAAACTAATCTCGACGGCACGAAATAAGCTGAATTGAAATTCATCCGCCGTCGCGGTTTCCCGTCGAAAATGAAGCACGAACTCCGCGGCGGTTCGAAAAAAAAATTTAATAAACTTTCCGCGACGGCGGCACTGCCAATTTCAATTACGCTTTTTTCGTTTAATTTTTCGTTTTTCGGGAGAAAATTATCTGTTGCTTGTCAAAGTCGAAGAGACAACGCGAAGCGTAATTTTGATGGAATTTTTTATTGGAAAATAAGGGGATTTTTACCGCATTTCCAGGGAAAATTTTAGAATTACCAAGTGTTTTACAGAAGGTTTATTAAACGATTATTCAAGAATCGTTTGTAAGAAGATTCGATTGTTAACAACATCAATTCGTTTCAAAACATTTTTAATAGTGGGAAACTAAAATACCAACCGAAAAACAAATGGACTCTTTATTAAGACATAAATATTAATTTAGCAAACACACATACACCTACCGCCCGCCATAAATCAAGCTCGTACAAGCGAGGAATATTGTTTTCCTTCTTGTTAACTATAATTAAAATGGCTGTAAAACGAACGGTTGGCACACTGAACCAAAAAAGTACGTGCAGATAATGAAAAAATACATTAATCCAAGAAATTTTTACATTAAAAGTCGTCCAATAAACGATTTCATTAAATCAATGAACGTTTGTTCATTAAGCGATGAAGAGGTACAT